CATTGTGCTGCTGTAATACAGTTTAAAATAATTAAAAGTCTAAACAGTATCAGCTTTATTTATGGGTTGCAATTTAAAAAAAAGTCAAAAACCGCACTCAAAATGCAATTTAGAGCTTTCTGGAAAGAGGAGACACCCAAATTAATAATGTAACATGCCACTGTTTGTACATGAACAAGGTTATACTGCTATTTCCTTAGATACGCGATTTAAAAAAAAAATCCCCGGCGGAACCGGGCATCCATAAGAATCACGTAATAGGTTTATTCCATGCTGAAAAAAAAGAAGAAAGAAAAAACATTCCATAAGAATTAATAATTATCCCAGTAAATGCCCAAACCCTACAGAACTGATGCCTCGTGAGAGCACACTACATTTCTGTGCAGTGAATAATTAAAGTACCACAGCTGCATGTGGTTGTCAGACATATCAGTACTGTATTAAATATTTATTAATCAATTGTGCTTTGCTGTGCTTATAATATTGTATGCATGTACTAAAAAACAAATACAACGATTACAATAAATTGTTGAGACATGATGTTGTTGCCATGTTGCTACCACAAATCTAAAGAAGATACTATATGTAACAATACTTATGTAAGGATACCAATTAGAAAACAATTTTATGCTGGATTTAAAAGCAAGTAAACAAAAAATAGTTTTGAATGACTTTGTCGGTTGCATACTGTTAATTGCATTGTAGCACATACAGGTACAAGTCTGCACTATATAAAGAGTAATTCTTTTATACTAATTTCTTTTTTGATCATTCTCTCAATTATTTACATAAATCTTTTTTTATAATTTATTCCAAAGAAATTGAACTATTTTAATAAATGCAGATCTACCTCGTTATTATCTTCGATTTTTGCTATTAAGTGTTATATTAATTAACATAAATTTCATCATGTTTTCATAGGAATATGATTATTTAAAGGTTGGTATGTTATTTGTCAAAATATTGTGGGATGTAATTTTATCTCATTTTTCAATTTGTTTTAACCTCATTATATATTCTGTTAGAAAGTGCCTACAATGGGGTTTAATGTTTTAATCGTGTCATTTTCTGTGAACATTCTTGACTGGCAGTTCAAGCCAACCATTCTATAACAAATAACATCCATTCTTTCATGGTAATATATAAAGAAGGCTCCACAGCTGAAATGTTGTGTTTTCTTTCTTCTCTTTTCAGCATGGAATAAACCTATTACTTGTTCATATATACAACCTAATATGATAGGTTTCTATTAGATATAGTTTAGTTGTGTAAGTATGACAAAGATAAGATAATAATGTGTGATAATAATTATGTACAGATTCAGTCATTCAAAACAAGCGGCCGATACCGCATTATAATGCGGTGCGCTTGTCGCTGTGTAACGCAAGTTACTGTATTAATACCGTATATTCTTGCATAGTACCGCATGGTACTGCAAGTAAAATAACAGTATCTGGAATTTCCGCAATGTGGAGCTAATAAAGCTCAATCTCTTATGTTTGAGCTATTGGCATCAAAGTCTTTACCAAAGATATTACTAATAGTATTAATAATGATTGAACTTGGACAAGCTGTAAACTCAAAGTATTGCCCTGGTCTACATTCTTTGTAACCGTCTTTGTAAACGAAAAGATTTTATTGACCATCTTTGTAAAAGTAACACCACAACATTTCATTGATCCAATCATGCATTTGTTTCCAATCATGCAAAGTACAGTAATTTTTGAGAATCTCCGTTCCAATTCCAATTCACATGCTCATAAAAGATATTGTTTTAGGAACATAAACATATTACTGTTTGCAAACTGTACTGTATACAGTATGTATATGTATATTTAGTGTCTTTACTGTGCCCATTTTAGTATTGAATATTTATTGAATTGAATTTAACCGTCGAAGGGAAATCATAGTAACTGAGCATAAAAAGAATAGGAGCATAACGCGTGTGAAGCCCATAAACGATATTAATTTTGGAACATAAACATACAGTATTACAGTATGTAAACTGTATATGGCTGGTCTCGGTACTTTAAAGAAAAAATACACACCAGAATAAAAATTAATTTGTTAATCCGGCTGGCTGTGCCGAACAATAGATAAAAACTGGTTTAACAGCTCTGTTGTTTTTATCCCGTAAAGCGCTTTGAGAAGCCACCTTTAAAGGCACTATATACAATAAAGTTCATTATTATTAGTATTGTTAATTTGCTGGACAGAGAGGTGAACATTATTACGCAGAAGACAAAGGTAGCAATTTATGTAGCATTGTGCCACGGAACCGGGCTTCCATAAGAATCAAGTAATAGGTTTATTCTATGCTGAGGAAAGAAGAAAGAAAACACATTCCATAAGAATCAGCGCCTTTATATAGTGCCTTTAAAGGTGGCTTCTCAAAGCGCTTTACAGGATAAAAACAACAATAACAACAACAACAATATTGTATTTGATTGCACTTTGACAGATCGTCTTTAAATCAATTGTTGTCAGAATATCCCTGTCTCCAAACAAGAACAAAACTGTGACAATTTTATTAACGGTCTGTTTCAGTAACTCAAAGTATTTATTTAAAGTAATAATTTATATGTACATGTTTAATGATATGTCGCTGTTGTGAATGTCTGTAGAGTGTATCTTATTTTTAGTTTTGTAGCCAAAGGGCCTTGCAGATCAGAATATCAAGGAACTAAGTAATTACCGTGACTGTCAGAAGATAGGACACAGAACCTCTGACACCTGTTGAATGGAAATGGGGCACTTTAATTTTCTGTACAGCTGGTATAGCACCCCACCGCACCCGCGTGCCAGCAGAGAGAGAGACACACACAGTTTTTAATTGTCAAAAAGTAATTGTTTTTTACTTTTGTACAATTTTTTTTACATTCCTCTTGTTTAACAGGAATGTTTTGTTTCTGGACAGACTTTCAAACTAGAGGAAAAGAGCGCCTCCTTCTTCTCAAGAAGGAAAAACTCACTGTTTGGATACTTGTCTCACCTGCCCTGCTCTTTGTTTTCCTTTTATTTGCTGTGGACCTGCGATCCACTCCTGCCCTCACACCTAAAGAAGACTATTTTACATTTTTTTTATGCGGTTCATAGTGCAATTAACCCTTGCTAGTATCATTGCGGTCTTTTGAAAGTTTGTGCTGCCCTTTGAAAGCGAGATGATCTCTGGTTCTTTGACAAAACAAGGCTCGCCAGATAATTTAGTTTTGGTTTAAGTTTTGTAGCCAAAGGCTACATTATCATTACATTATCATTCTCACAGTGCATAACAAGGAAGATTAATAAACATAAACATAAACATAATCTCATGGCTAAATAGTCAAGTCTAGCCAAAAGAGAAAACATCAACTTTATTTAAACTCCAACGAAAGTATTGTTTTTAATTACCGTACTTTTATGGAACATGACTTTGTTAAAATATATTTAAAAATAAAAACGATTACAATTGGCAGGCCTGTAGCTTTTTCGCGCACCTGTAGCCTGTAGCTGAATAGGCAGTGAAAACATTTGTCTGTCTTTACGTGGGGGAAGGGGGAAAGGGGGAAGGGGGAAAGCACAACTATTCTACTCTTAGAATGCCCGTTGTCTTTTGACTGATAAACTTGTGTTAACAAAAACCACAGTATGCTTAAGAGTTGTCATACCAGTTTTTATTTATTTTTTGGCACATCCAGCCGGCTGTCGTGATAAATATATTTAGCTGAAAAGCTGTACAACGCAAGACATGTCGTTACTTCTTTAGATACGCGATTCCATGTTTTTTTTTATCCCTGGAGGAGCCGGGCTTCCATAAGAATCAAGTAATAGGTTTATTCTGTGCTGAAAAAAAGAAGAAATAAAACACATTCCATAAGAATCAGCACCTTTGTATAGCGCCTTTATGTAGCGTATAGAGTTCAGCAGTTCAGAACGAACGTTCTGCTGCCTGGAGCGCTTATGGCAGCAATCGCGTCTTCATTTATAACTTAGTTTTTAAAATTAATTTAATATGTTCAGAATATGACAGCAAGAATCCTATCAGGGATGCACCTGTTTTCAAGTCCTTGCACTGGTAACCTATCAGGTTTCGAGTCATTTTCAAAATCCTCATCCTCATTCAGTACCTACAGTATATGGCTTATTATCTGTCTACTCCCCACCTTTATCCATCTGACTCTGGTCTTCTAGCTGTCCTCAAGAGCATCTACATTCTGTGGGTGACAGGACCTTCTCTAGCTGCACCCAAGAGCTCTGGATTTGTATCCCCAGTGATATCACTCACATACCCTGAGTGCATTTAAATCTAACCTCAAAACCTTTCTTTTCAGAAGACTTAGTGTCTGTATCTGCTTCATTTTCTAATTTTGGTAGCACCTCCAACTGCTTGTCTTTCTTATATGTATTTACTTTGTAATCTGTGGTCCTTATAACTGTTTTTACATCTACAGTATTGCTTTGAGATGCCACTTTTAAAGGTGATATACTGTATAAAATAAAGTTTTTTATTATTGTTCTAGAGAAACATGATCAGATTTTCCCTGGCTCAGAAAAAAAAGATCTAAAGTATACTAGTTTATCACTCTTCTCATTCCCTCTTTGCTAAATGGCTTTTCATACTAATATGATTAATCTAACTGCCTATTTTCTGTGCTTTCTCTATCCTGCTAGATTTACAATTATTCTGAAAATTTTCTTCTTGAAATGACTCATTTCTAAATACCTTCTTTGACTGTTAACATCTTGCAGCAACTCTGCGACAAAATATACTGTACACTTAGCTCAACCTGACAGTTCATCCTGCTACCAACATTGAATAAAAAAATCTTTAGATTTCTATATTTATGTCTTTATTTAGTGGTTTCATTAGTGACAGGGCTAAACGTTCTTGGAAATATGTATTTTATGTGTTTTGAAAAACTGACTTGCTTTAACAAAATATATTTACAAATCCTTTCACCTGGCAATCTACCTGAATGCCCTCCATGAAACCATGTTTGCTATTAATTCATTTAAGGCACACTGACAGAATTGCTGTTTTTTATGGATGATAATTTTCTGATTCCTCACTCTGTTTCATGTTTAGAAATCGATAAGACTTTATGGATCCCGAAGGGAAATTGATGTACATTCTCGTGTACATGATGAACATGTTTACCTGTTCTTTTGTAACACACCTTTTTGTGATTTTGTATATCTAAGCAAGTGTTCCTGCATCCCTCTTCTGCACTATATATAGTCATGGCTTTTTTTCTGTTTGCTTATTTCAAAGTAACACCTGCTCCATTTCTAAAACATTTTGCTCATGTGCATTTTTGTATTTTTTACACCTCTAGCACTTTTGTCCTGAATTTTCATTTGCCTTTATTTGTAGAATGAATTTTAGATTTAGCCTTAAAAAGCTTAAGTTTTCACTATCTTTTGTTTCTTGTCCTACAACTGTTATTATTGATCACCAAATTATTGTACTTGACATGACTTTATTCACCCTTTTCCCGAACATCTATGACAGGCAGAGATAGTGTTGTCTCTGGTGCGATCTTTTACAGCTGACATTTCACTGTTTTAAATGAATAAGAAATTAGATTGCTCATAAATCATTATTCTACATAAACACAGCATAATTGCCCTCTGAAAATGCTCTTTTTCTTGTTTGTTTTGGAGACCTTGATCGAAACTGATTTTAGATGTCAGAAAGGATTTATTTTCTCTGTATTTCTGTGTGCGAATTTCCTACATGGCTTTGTCGAGATTTTAACTTTATATTTAGGCTCAGATTTCAACTATTAATCCTAAACTAATTACTAGCAGTAAATACTGATGTTTTGCTCCCTCTTACCACAAAAATATATATGTATTGTAGCTGGGATTAACTTTTCTACATACGTGTACCTTCTGCGATTCGGACACGGAACGGTTAACAATGGCGACAAGTCAGGCACCCGGGGGGGGTGTCTTTCCGCCTCCATAACTAAAATGCCAAATAGGAGTGACTTAAGCGACATACACAGTCTTGTAACTGACAGTTTGAGGTAGCCTATTGTGTAGATTTTGCTTTGTTGCTGATAGGTTAAGCTTTTGAAACTCAGCCCCAAAGTCATGTGACTGATTTTTCACCCTGTTTCATTGGTTAAACATAATGATCACAAGCACCACCATGGTAACTGGGATGTGTAGTTTTTAATTCCGTTTGAATTATAACTGTACGTACTGTCTTCATATTTGGCCAGGGCTTTAAAGAGAGGGCGCGCAAAATATTTTCAGTGCCGTCGTCCTGGAAGAATTTGACCTCTGAACATTTGACCAGCATACTTAAAGCAGAAGGAGTGTACTGGGTGAAAACTCCAGCCGAATCCCCAGATTTAAATCCAATAGAGATGTTATGGCATTCACTGAAAGACTATGTTCGGAAAACTGCTAAACCCACCACAAAACAAGAACTTATCACTGTCAATATTATGCCAATAATATTAGCTATTTTAGTTTTTCGAATAAATTTTTATTTGTTAAAAGAAAACTGATGGCGCTAGCTGGATTTAAACAGCCAACCTCTCGCTTAGAAGTCAGGCACTTAGACCACCGCGCCACTTGCACAGACGCATGACAAATGGTGAAACAGCCTTACACATACAGTATCAACAGATATTGTACAGCATATACTATTCTTGTGTTGCAGTACATGAATATAATTATATCATTATTAATTTCTTTAGATACGCGATTCCATACTGTTTCATAAAACTTTGATGCTTAAAATGTTTAAGGAGAAATGGAATACTGGTGTGTATTTTTTCTTTAAAGTACCTAGACCAGCCATATACAGTTAAGATACTGTAATACTGTATGTTTATGTTCCAAAATTAATATCGTTTATGGCCTTCACACGCATTATGCTCCTATTCTTTTTATGGTCAGCTACTAAGATTTCCCTTCAGCGGTAAAATTACATATAAATATTCAATACTAAAACGGGCATAGTAAAGACATTTAAATCTTTTTTAGCACCATGAGTGCCCCTGTCAGTCAACCAATCACGTACCGCGCGATGACGTAGCCAAATGCCCGTGGTACATGTTTGTGCCGCACATTTTGAATGGCTGCATCTGTAATTAGTTCCGTGCTTTTGCATGCACAATAATTACAGGCATGAATGCATGAGAATGTAGTATTTTCTTAATAATTAATGCCTTAAAGCTACTTTTTTTGGTCCTTGTGTTATGTTTATGTAAATGGTCGCCAGCTGTTCTGTTATGTCATGTACATAGATATCCATGGAGCTACAACTAAAGGTTTCATGATCTCTAGTCTAATACAAAGGGTATTAGAAGCAAATGTTTGATGAAAACATTTTATCACTGTATAAATCTGATTCTATTGTTGCAAGAAATTATCGTAACTAATATTGTACAAGTATTGACAGCAAAAAGTCATTTTTGTTCTTATGACTGGGTGGGTTTAGATTTCAATTTTGACATCTCACAGTTTGCTCAAGCCATCACAAATGTGGGTTGTGAATATGAGGAATGACATTTATATTTAACACAAAACTGTCATACTGTTAAAAGAAAGGTGAGACAGCTGGTTAAAGCATCTCATTACTGTACTGCTGAACTTTGAAGGCTATACCCAGAAGCAAAACTTGTACTTCAATCTTTAAGATTGTACACTATGACACATCTGCCTTACTCACCTTTTCCTGAATCAAAGATTTTCTTGAAGTATACAAGCAGCAACTTGCAGATGTCAGATGCATCACAGGCATGCTAGAATGCTTCAGGTCACTGATGGTGCTGCTAAACATTGCAGTTTTCTGGCCAAAGTGTTAAGATAAAAGATTAATGCATCTGTGTATCAACGTCATTAATAATAATAATAAAATAATTTTACATAAAGGACAGATGGACAGAATTATCTTGAAACTCTGTATGACTTGTTTTAATAAAAGCCCTTATTTGCAATAACACAACATTTTAATGGGTCATAGCCTCAGAAATCTGATGAAAAAAAATAAAGAATAGCTAATTTGACGATCATGAAGTCTGATAAATATCCTCTTTCTTGATTAAATGAATATGCCTCACTGAGTTATTCTCCAGTGTGCCATTTGATGGCATTTTAATTATATTGCTTATAACTGATTAATTCTTTCTTCAACAGACAGGGGAGAATATAAAAACGGATAACAATACATTAATATTTACATTGGTATTGCAGATGTTCATATAGACATCCTAGCAGTGTCATTTACATTTATGAAAATGAATGCATTATACATTTATTCTCAATATTCTGATTAAACATACAGATATAAAGACAAACATATATGATACATGTGTAAGACTTATACTGTATTGTACAGAAATGGCTCTTCTTGAATACTATATATGTTACATAAATCACTCCATTAAGAGCATAAGAATGTTTGTAAATGACAAGAGGCTTTTTGAATCACCTACCGTAGTTCTTTTGATTTTTTCAAAGTGATGAGGATCTCATCCAGCAGTTTCTATTTTTATTCAATACAGTATATATAATATCTCACATCTCCACAGAAAACAGTAATATCCAGTTCCTGAATTGGTTTTATGTTCTGTCTGCCAATAAGAATGTCACCTCAAAGAACCCTGTGCTCAATGTACACAGCCTTGTATCAGCTATTTATACCAGAAGCCATCTGGAACTGAATGACATTGGAGTCTAAGGGCTCTGTTGTGACAAACCCTACATACACTTCTCAGGTATGACCCCCCCACCCTTTCCACACATATATTTATTTTTGCAAACTTATTCTCAAATGAACTATGTTGGGTTTTAAGTCACTCGGGTATAACTTTTATTCTTTTTAAAACCCTTTTTCTTTAAGCCTTTTCCATGTTTCCTATTCCTGTTCACAGAGATTCCTATCCTGTTTGCTTTCTGGTATCTTCTACCAGATTACTCTTTCATGGCTAAAATCATTAACCATTTGGGTGTCAAATTATTCTTTACAGTCTCCAATGAGGAGAGAGGTTCGTGATGTATGCGCCTGATACCAATAACTCGACCAACTTTGCTGGCTAGATGTTTCAGATCAAACATATGTCAGCTGGCTGACACCCATGATCAATATTTCAATACACAAAACAATTGCTTCATCGATGACTTGAGATGCTCACCCTAGCCAGTGTTCTGTGTTTCAGTATAACATATTTTGAAGCATCACTCAGCTCATAGATCAAAATAAGCTTTTCATATTTGATGATTAAAAAAGGATACAATGATCTTTGTCCACTGATCTCTTTGTCAAACTAACCAACTTCTGTATACTTGAAAGCTAAAAGTTATGCTTCAAAATCATCTACTGCAGTAATTTTCTATAACCCATGTGCTGATTGACCCAATTTTACTTCAGTGTCCCCTTGACTCACAACCTGTGTTGGCCTAGAGGGTCTTAAGCCACCCATTCTACTTCGTGGGCACTATTAGTTTTTTCCTTCCGACTGAGTCATAACTACTAAAGCATCTTCCTTTTTTTCTTTTTCTTTTAGAAGAAAAGAAAAAACACTCCGCCATTTTACTTTGGAAGATGCCATTAGCCACTAGCTGTGGTATACCACATCTTCACCCACATGTGATGAGTCCCCTTTAACAAGCAGCAAGACAAAAGAAGATCTACCCACACTAACCACACAAACTATATGAATACTGGGTGTCAGTGTGAAGTTAAGCCAAACCTCGTAAAATAAAATCACCAACGCTCTAAAACATGGTACATAATTTACTTGCTTACCCATGTTTTTATGTGTTTGTCTAATTCTTAATGAGGTTCCCATAGCGTGAGCTAGTGGGTAATATTTGCTCCAACTCTCTAAGAGCTCGCACCTCTAGTTCTCTATTGGGAAAAGGTTGTGGTTTACCTACTGTATTTCCCCTGGGAAATACAAATACTTTATACTCTATATTTGTAATGGGGTAATGAGCAGGAGGCAAGCTCTGAGCTTTATCAGATTCACATTTTGGTGCCAATTCTTAAACTTACCTAAGATAATCTCATTTGAAACTGACCTCTAAGAAGAACTGGTCTTACCACAAGACTAGAATATTCTGATAATATCACAATACTAGACAACATCTGCTGTGTTCACTACTTGTTTTTAGAGAAATCAAAAGAAATCCAGTTTCATGACATATACGGTATCTATTACAATCTTGTGCAAATGTCTGCACTTAGTCTCTCTAGTGTCGATAAGCCACAGACACAATTCTGAGAGACAGCCATTATGTTATACTGATCCAACATGGGAGGATATCAAGGGTATGTAATTTAGCATGTGATGGAACCTCCCAAAGAGATGTGGTTATGATTATAGTGAGACAGAGAGTTATGTGACCAATTCAGTATATCTTTTTTTTCTTATACTGCTTGGCAAATGTTACTTCCAGAGTAAGTTACAATTGTAATTTATATTTTACTTCATTTATTGAATGAGACAACTGAGAAACAGAGAACCGGACTATTAGGTCAAATACCTTTATACAGTTTGCATTCAAATGAAACATTTGGCCCATATGATAAGGTCTATTTCTCCTTAATATTACTGATATGTTTAGATCAGGGTATCTATAGTGAAAAGAGCTGCTGCTTTTTTTTTCCTTGGAAAAGAAATTGCATTCAATATCCATTGAATTATACTATGCATTACATTTTGAAAGTATAATAAGCTGCTTGACAACAGAGACAGAAATAGAAATCCTGGGTGTAACACTGCTGTTGTGCCACCAAATAAGGTACTTTATTCTAATTGTACCAGTAAAATGCCCAGCTGTGCAAAAGGCAACAGTATGTTGCTTTGGATAAAAGTGTCAGCTAAATAACTAATAATAACTTATAATAATTTGAATAAACCAAAAATGGTTTTATTATAAAGAAACAGGGAGCAGGACAGTGGAATGATGTACAATCAATAAAAACATTTTTAGACCAAAAAACATTGTAACGTCTTTCCTATTTACAACAGTAGCAGATACTACTGATACCAAGTGATATAATAACCATGTCAATATAAAGAAGGGGCAGAGTGAATTCGAAAATTGATAGTATTTCAGTCTGTGGTATTCTTGGAAGCATGGAACTACACAATGAGGTGTTTTACATTCAGTGAACATAAATCAAATATCTTTATGTTAATATTTGCTTAGTTTATAGACATAAATAATGAAATAATAAAAAGTACAGAAATAAAATGGTATCTCCACTCAGGGTGATCATGTTTTCCATCCATCTGTCCCATAAACTCACCAGAAGCTTAATACAGCTCATAGGGTAGTTGCTGAATGTACCATTTTTTTAGTGCCATAGCTGTTTTGCAAATTATGCAGCCATTCAACACAGCCATATCAATCAGTTTGAAAAAAAATGTTCTGTATCCCTTTAGTGGTTTTCCAAATTTTTCTGCAGTCTTGCTGATATTCAAATAATGTTAAGATTTTTATTATTAATCAAGATTGGGCTTTCTCTGAGAAAACATTGACAAAAGTGTAATATATATGTAGAAAATATAGACTTTGGTAGTTTCTTATTGTGTGGTTAACAAAAATTATTTTAACAAAAATAAAAAAATAAAATAAATGTGAAAGGATTTGACATTTTTTCTTCAATTATCCTTTTTGTAGGTGATGTGGTGTTTTAATTTACTAAATTGTAACAGTAAACTGTGAGAGTGCTTAAGGACTAATAGTAATGAATAATTACAGTCTCACCCATGGATTCTAAATATACAATATAAAATGTATTGATATAAAACCAAAACATGCAAAAATAGCCTAATTTTGAATGTTAATAAAACAAAAGAAATATGTTTTAATCCCAGAGCAGTTGGTGATCACTTACGTTAGGAATCAAACACAATAATTTACTGTCTCACACATACAGTTTATTGATACAACACAAAAACGTGCATACCAAACTGTGAATCGATCCGCTGATATGTTACAAAAAAGAAGGTTAAAACATAGAGAATACCAGAAATGACCGCGTGGGTTAATCAATAAGTCAATTAATCATAACCTCCAAATTGTAAAACTTTTACAAAGAATATAACGAAGTGGTTGGTATAATTAGAAGCACCTGAATTATTTATTTTTTCTCTGGCACAGCTTTGGTGAAAAGTGTAATAATTCAGGCACACTGGATTAAACAATTACAATAAAAATGACAATACATACACTAAAGCCTACATCCACACCACATAGAAAAAAATGCCTATATAGTATCGGTTGCACACAAGCGTAAACCCACTGTATAACCCCAACAATTATGTCCACCTGGTGGGGGATAAGATTTAACCCTGTTGCATAGAAAGTTGCCTGTAAGGTTTTCCCTAGGCTTTCCAACATTTGCTGCTGTTGATACAGTCTGTCACTACCCCCTGGCATTTCTGACACCTGCCTTCTTGGGGCAGTCAGGGTGAGAGTGCCAGTAGCAAACAAACCTACCAAAAATAACAAACGCACAACAGTGGCAGCGGCAATCAGTCCTCCCAAAAGTCTTTTAGGGCGGCTGATCTCAGTCATCTCCTTCTGAGTGACTGTCGTAAGCTGGCGCAGCATGTACATGGTGTCTTTCTCAGTATGTGATGTCGCATCCTGGGTACCAACATCCTGGAAATCTGGGGGAATCTGACGCAGCTGCTGATGCTGCTCCTTTGTTTCCAGGGCATCTGGTTTTTCGATTTGTTCATGCCTGTGCTCTAGGAACCCCGCTGGGGGTGGTGCAGAGGTGGCGCATGCCTGAGCCTTGGCTGAGTGGTGATCTGGAGAACCTGAGTGATCTGGGATTGTTACCCCATTCTCACTGTTCCGGTCCACCCTGCACACCTCCTGATTGAGGAATCCCTCTATCGGCATGTTTACAATCGTCCGCCGGGGGTAGGTGTAGGATACCTGCTTGCTCCCCCCTCCCCCCGCTAGGGGTTCAGGGGACTGCCCCAGCACTGGGATAGCTAGTTCACAGTCTTTGAACTCGCTATCTTTCACCAGGCCCATGTCAGTGCGGGCGGGGATTCTGACACCCCCCTTCTCCATGTTCTGCACTAACAGGCAGGTGGCTTGACCATCCAGCTCCAGTCTGGCTGAACCACTGTTGGTCAGACTCAGACTGACAAATTGAGCTGGTGGCTGGAAGAAAACATACTCGGCTTTCATTCCCTGTCCCTTCCTGGGGACTGAGTGTGTTGGAAACCCTGCCATCGAGGCAGGAACAATCAGGTCAATCTCACTCACTACCTGGTAGTTGTGAGAAATAATGTTACCCGACTGCAGTTCCCTGGGTCACAGCAGATGGAATCAGCATCTGGTATCAGGTGTGTCCACAGCACAGTAGTCTCAGTGTCCAGGTGGGCTCTCTGTCTAACCTGTGAATGTTGCACCGGGGGCACCTGGCAGTTGCCCTGTGACAGCTGGTCAAGCAGATCCTCACTAATAGAGGACCCCTCAGGGCTAAGGGTGAAGGCTACATCACCAACCTGCTCTACTGCCATCTGGATCCCTTCCACCACTGCGGGGCGGTGGTCCTGACCCCTCTTGGGTGCCAGGGTACACAGGGAAAGCTCCTTTTCATCACCAGTTTGGGAGATCTGCTCCTCTTTAGGGATGTAAAAGGGGTATGCTTTATCTGGTG